CTTGGTCCTTTCGTCTTCTTAGTCAGATTGATACGAAATAGAGCTCTTTACATTGCAAAAGAAATGTATTACTGCTGCTAAGAGGTGACTGACGGCTGTCTCCATATACATTCTGAAACAAAACATTTCGGATACGGAATTGATCACGAGCTAATATCAGTTAAGGAACCATTGGAAAACTAGCAAAGTGTAGTCTGGGACTTTTCAGCGCTATGTACCCACCGGGATCACAACACACTAGGTTTTGGTTACGAGGTGAGCTTGTAGAGCATGGTGTAAGACAAGTGTAGACTGATGGTATAAACAGGACCATGCCTTTTGGTAACAGTATATGAGCCTTCTCACTTTAGAAAAAGGTTGTTTGAACCTGTTTTCATTGAACAGAGAGCTAACTTCAGGATGAAGTAAGCTTCAGAATTATGTCATCCACCTGAGTGGACACAGTAACACTGAAATATGACATTATATTTTAACATATAACTGTTAATAAAGACCAATTTAATTACATCTTACAAATGTATTATTATTCCCTTGAGTTCCTAGTGCAACAAAGGACTTCACCAGAACATCTGCACTTCTCTCTCTTCTCTGCGCTCCTCTCCAGATGGTTTCATGATTATCCACAATCCCTGGTCACCTCTTGATGCGATCTCCTCCGTGTTACTCGCAAACCTGTGATCAACCCAGGCAATAGGTTCTTGATGGATCCATTCCCAGAGTTTTACTTGTTGGTTATCCTATCTAACCGGCCATCTGATCTTCAGTATGTAGTAAAGTCTGACTGACTGTTGGAAATGCTTTCCATGACACACCAAGCCTCTGAACCATACAGAACAACTGACTTACTCACTATTGGTTTTGAAAATCCTGATCTAGTTCCTCATGCTGAGTGTGACGGATTTTCACACTGATTCCAGAGTAATAATTGTCTATCTTGCTTTTGCTATCCTAGCTGGCTTGGATACCTTCATCCATGCCACATGCGTTAGTTGAGTAGGAGTAATGACCTCCTTCAAATTTATATATATATATATAAGTTATCTATCCCCAACAAAGTACCTTCATAAGCTCATTGGTTGAATTTCCCTCCTTACCGAGCATTTTATTTCTAACTTATTGATTACCGATTATATTGTAAAACCTAAAAGGAGAGAGCGAAACCAGACACCTCTTGCAAAAAGCAGCTAATAATTTTAGCATATCTTCAGCTCTGAAAGGCCATACCTCTCAGCCATGAAGTAGAATGATGTATTAATGTTCTTGTACAAACGTAACAGAAGCAGGTCAAATAGTTATCACCTTATATATCACACAGTAAATCAGTATTATTTACTGGATGACTTGTCGAACACAATTTATTATTGTTCATAATCATATCATCAATTATAATCACACGACTTCGAAATTTGAGTTTTATACTTTCCTTTGTTCTCGCCTATTTGTCTTTGTAGGGGTAGTAGGATTTCCCAGATATCTGGGACAGGTGTTGAATCATTCCAATTACATGTATTCTCTCCAGTTTATTCGATAAACACAGCTTTGGTCAATTATCAATCTCTCCCTCCACCCTGTTATATCAGTTAGATTTAAAAACTGTCATCTTATCCTATCCTATTGTATGGTTGTGTGTAACTGCATGTAGTGAGTGCTGTAGCTGAACTATCCTCCAGATTTCAGAGCAGTAGAACAGGGGCAGTCAGACCTTCCTGAACATAAAAGCCTAGCAAAATCTAGATTGGTTAATCCAAATAAGATAAGAAATCTAGAGAATAGTTCAGCTATACCGCTCAGTACATGCAATTACATACAACCATACAAGAGGATGATGCGATAAGATGACGGTTATAAAATCTAATGTCACAGGGTGGAGGCAGAGATTGATAACACAAGCTTTGTTTATCGAATCAACTGCAATAGGAATGATTCAACACCTGTTCCAGATATCTGGGAAATCCTACTACCCCTACAACGACAAATAGGAGAGCACAAGGAAAACTATAAAACCCATGTTTCGAAGTCGTGTGATTATAATTGGCATGAATATGAATAATAAATTGTGTTCGAAAGGTCATCCAGTAAATAATACTGTTTCACTGTGTGATATATCTAATAAACAAACTAATATGGAATTACTTACTACCACAGTACCTAAGTTTTACACATATATTAGGCTACCACCCGACGTTAACTGCTATAGCCAATTTTAAAAATGCATTTATGTCACCGATGAAAAACAGGAACAAATACTTTAGAAGTCTCTGTGGTTATAGACAAAAATTATCGTCAGAAAATGTTTATTTAACGTTCGATAAACTCAAGCTGTCTTCCCTAACTCTGAGTATATCTTTATCGATTAATCAAGACAGTTAGCTTATCGCTATAACATATATTTGTTAAGCAGAAATCTAAGAATGCAGCTTTCTTCGAACAGTTATAAGCATCTTCAATACTAATATCTAACAAGGTGAAAATTCTAAAATTCTTCTCAATGGCACTCAAAACCCTAGAAAATGAATGAATTCAACATATATGTGTGTATTCAGAAGTTAATTGGTGAATGGTGACTAGCAGTGGGATCCATGACGCGCATTTCGTCCTATTTGGGAGACCGAGCACTTCGGTCCAATCAATCGACGGGAAAATCTGAAATTGAATTAAATAATTAAGATGACCCATTGCACCAGAAGTGGCCCTCATGGCCCAAGTAGTATAGTGGATGACGCTTTGGCGTTTGAAACTATGGTCACTGGGTTCGAACCTCGATGGTGGAAACATCATCACTCACTGCTGAATGCAGGTACATCCAGATGACGGGTCTCAAACAGGACGAAATGCACATCTTTACTGGATTCCACTGCTAGTTACCATCCACTAATTAACTTCTAATTACTTGTTCAGACATCGTCAAACCATCTGCGCAAGAAGCCGACATGTCAAACTGAGACCGAGCAATTCAGTCCAATCAATTGTCCGGAAAATCTAAAATTGAATTAAATATATGTGTATTCATTTAGATATCTTCGTCAAAATGTGGATGTTTTGATTCGGAATCCAACACACACACACACGTCTATAGTACTTTAACAGCACAATGAAGCAGAATTCAGAGGACTTAAGACCTTTGCAAAGAAAGCCCAACATTGTCACCTGAACGATGAATTTCATCTCAGCACTTCTTATAATTTCTTTGTTTTACAACCAAAAGGAAATGTTCTGTTTTTTGGATTCCTTTGCCATCCAAGTAAAACATAGGACCTCAAACTCAAGCTTTGAAGATGCGGTACCAGTAATATTTAGTTTTTTAAGTGGCAAAATGCTGACCTCAGAGTGCATCGCGATGACTAGTCACCTACAATGATGGCCACATTGCTACGTTGACTGATAGAATTCATTCTGCACCAAGCCATTAACTAGGTGTATGACACTAGTTCCTTACAACCTAGTGAACAATCAAAGAATTGAGCTGTACAATTTCTCCAGAGATGAAATATTTCTCTCTTATTTGTGATTCTCATTATTATTGATTATTCGCATAGATTTCCTTACTATTACTTCCACTTCTATTGTTATTGATGGCTTCACTGAGCAAATACATTTGACCTTTCACTTTTGGGGCCTTTTTGCATAAACTGTGAGGAAAACTACATTGGCTGAAGCCAGCAGCAGTCGAAGGACATGACATACATTCTTTCTTATTCAAGTCATGCGGACAACTATGGACATCACTGCCACAGAGGAAATATAGGCTTCTTTGACGGAGGAAACCCAAAATACGTCAATGAATTCCTAGAGCTTGAAACTATTTTGCTACTTACAGACGTGTTTACTGGTTTGATCGCGAGCCGACATCAGTTACAGAACTACTGGACAGCTAATTCATCCTAATCTGAGATTCTTTAGTAGGACACATCCACTGGGGTTCGAACCTAGAACTTTCCGGATACAAGGCTACCTTGTAGACCATCCAGTGTAATGTCCCTACGAATTTCAACTTCTGCCAATTCGCTATGCACATATAGCTGAATCACTAGTGGGTATCGTCGGTGAGTATCTGTTGCCCTACCTGACTTGACAGATCTTGCTATTTACGACTTCTTTCTAGAACCCCAAGTAAAGATACAGACCAAATTTATCAATGAATAAAAAATTAGATCATACAATCAAAACTCCAAATATTAAGTCAACAAAAGAATCAATCACAATATAAGTGGATACAATCATAAAGAAACCAACAAAGGCAAGATGAACATCATACCCATGGAGAATTCACGAAGTTACCTCTGACTATATATTTTGTCTGGAAAGACTTCAAAGTTAGACCATCTAGCCCAACAAAAACAACTCACTACAAAACATTCATCTGATCTACAAATCTTCTTCACTACTTCATGAATTATCGTAACTTTTATGAAAAAAGCTTTTCCATTTAACACTCATAACTATATTCTATAGTTTGGTTTGTAAGGATTAGTTATGTTTTACGAGTTGATCACGGACTGATATCAGTTAGAGAACCATTGAAAACCAGGGAGCACTGGACAACCGCTGTTTCATCCTAGTTTGGGAATCATCGGCAGTACGTACCCACTGGGATTCGAACCCAGGACCTTCCGGTTACAAGGCAAACTCGTATACCATTCAGCCACTGGGACCCGATTCAATGGCACATGAATTCTAACTTCTACCAATTCATGATTTAGCGCGACCCCAACCATTGTCGTTGGTGGGACATCCATCCTCATACGTAACATCTGGATGGACCTCACTGGTCACAACCTCTCACTAGAACTGACTCCAGGAAACTGCATCCTGTAGCAAGTCACTAGAGAGCATCACATTAATTTTCTATAGTTTGGTTTGTAAGGGTTAGTTATGTTTTTACGAGTTGATCACGGATTGATAACTATGTATAAATAGTAGTACATTCTAAAATACTCACTACCTGAGGTAATTTAAGCAAGTTTATCATAAAAATGAAAAGACGTCCAATATTCACTCACTTGTAATAAGCCACATGTGAACCGGTAACAATGCCTAATAAATTTATTGGAATCAATAATAACAATAATGATGATGATAATGATAATAATAACAATAATGATGATGATAATAATAATCCGGAATTAGGCGAATTCATTCGAATAATCATTTTGTGGGTTGTTGTCGCTGCTGCTGTTATTGTTCAAATATCATCAATTACTTTTAGAAAAGGTTGTTTAATTCAATTGGATATAAGTATCATTCTTATAAACAATGATTGGTATTATGATTATGATTATTATTCTTTGTGTTCAATTGTTCAATGCGATACAATTGAACATTGTATCAATTCAGATAAACAAAAGGTTAGTTTTTAGCGGTATATATAAATATACATATATATCCTAATCTATACTTCACAATCCGGAATATATATATATATATATATATATGTTACGATGTGTTATCTGCCACACGTGATCGAAGACTCTGATATACACACTATGGCATCGTCATGCATAGACATAATAAGGGAGGTAGGAGGACGAGGAGGAAGGCGCGCATAGGGAGGGAGTGATAACTACATAACTGGATATATGCATAGATAGATAGACAGTGGACGAATCAAATTATCGTATATATATATATATATATATTTGTATATATGACCTTATTAATCTACCAAGTTTTGTATATACCATAAACAGAATGCCGTATATATGTATGCATATATATACATATACAAGCGTAAACGAATCTAATAGTATAATAAGGCATTTCAGCATTCTGAAGACCAGAGATATCGAATGAAAAATCTATAAAAACTTATGGAATATATTGTATACAATATATCACTAGCAGTTGTATTAATAGTAAGATTTACCTCATATCTCTTAAAATAAACTATACCTTAACAGGCAAATGATATGAATCGATAAAATTGTGAAGCTGTATTGATTAAGATGGGGCTAGAACTCGTGTTATACATGCCGAACCATCATAGCCTTGCCTGTCAAGCGATGTTTAGCTGAACGCAGAATTAGGTTGATAGAGTTAGGTGGTGCAAAGGTGACAGATGGAAACCTAGGGCGTCATTCCGCGAAGATTTTGACTGTTGGTTTCAGTCAATCACGTGAGGAGGTGTAGACTGCGTGGTTGAGGTCCTGGGGAGACTCTAACACTTGGTGACTCATCCATTTTAATGGGATGTTCACTGTCCAGTAGACGAGATAAAATGGCACTTTTCCAAGCCAGATTGGAATATGTTCACTAATGCATAAAGGTAAATTCCTCTGTGTAGTGCTTATATAACTAGCTGTGTAGGAGCATTTGAATTTGTCTAACTGGTTGAGTAATTGACGTGTACTTCTGTCACGTTGAAGGTTATTTCAACTGAATTAATCAACCTGAAACTTAGGATATCACTGGATACATATTGTCTTCGAAGAGAACTCTTAAATAAGGCTTTTTCTCACTCACCATATCCTGCTTTATTTTATCAGTCCTCTTTACAAATATGCCACTTTAAAAAATTAGTAGGATAACCATTTTACGGCAAGGTATTTTTAATCATTTTCAATTCCATCTTCAATACAATCCTCAGTATATATGCGTTTAAATCTATGTCAGAGACAATGAATTGAATTCAGCTTATGCTGTAAGGGGGTATAAAACTTTGAGAATGAATATATTGTCCGTTCCACAGCTACAGCTTTCCTGTAGATATTTCTCTTGAACCGTGTAGTAAGAAGAATATTATTGAGCACTTGTGTTAGATGTTGTTACTCCAAATTCTTATCACAAACACTGAGTGTATCTTCCACCTAACAACGACAGTATCCCAGATTAGTTAACATGTCTCTTACAGCACCAATTTTTTGATTCTGCTAAGATGTCGACTAATAAGGTTTATGCAGGTGATAAGAATAACAAAGATAGTATATGTATATAAGTGTATATGTAGACAATTCAGTAAATAAATAAATTAGGTCAAATCTTAAAAGGTGATGTGGAATAATAATCAGAGTTTAAATAAATATTATAAAAGTACGAAGAAGATGGAAAATAAGAGAGGGTGGGAGGGTTTCGAATAGAATTCACCTTGGCTAAGGTAGAGACAAAGGTAGAACAAACTTCTTTTGTATGCAAAGACTAGGATTGTTCCTTCGAATTCCCATAACTTCGGCTAGGTGTAAAAGACGGGTTCTGATTCCGTTCGAAAGATTCGATGGAATACGATAGATAACTTTGAAGGCACCATTTTTGTCCACTTGGTGACCGCTATTATCAATCAAATGAGCCAAAATAGAACTTCGTATGGATTTTATTTGACCTTTTCCGAATCATGAAGGAAGATGCTCGTTAATGCGTTTGTTAAGCTGTCTAGTTGTTCGCCCTATATAGCTTTCTCCACAGGAGCAACTAAATTTATAGATACACGTCGAAGTGGCACAGCTAGGTAGCTTATCTTTCACTTGAGCAATCAAAATAAGGTTGCCTAGGGGCAAACCATAGTAACCCCAACTATATGTAAATAAAATACAAAGTGCCCATCCTTTGTACAACTTAGTAAGAATTCGTTCAACTTCACTGTTTTCGCAAGACAGACAACGCTAAAAATGACATTACATCCAAAGGTAATACCGTTTGTCCATGATGTAAGTATCCTTAAGGATTTGCTATTTTTCCTTTTGACTAAGAGGCGAGTAAAAGGTGCCTCTAGTGGGCAAGTGGTCACACTTTTGTGTTACAAATCGTTGATGTAGCGTTCGCGTCTTAGTGGCAGCCTCATATAAGCCTGGCTTGTAGGTCGAAACATCTGAGGAGTCATTTAAGTATCAGTGGAAACATTTGATCTCCAGTGCAAAGTAATCGATAATTTGGGAATTTTCTCATTCATCAGAAAGTATATTTTTCAAAAGCATGAATATGTAACATACTTATGATACTTTAGATAATAAAGAAGTGGTTCAACAAGGATATCACTTCAGAGATTTCATCCTCAATAACACCTGTAAAATCGGATTTTGAATTCCTAGGTTTACATTATTACGATTTTTAATTAATTCAACATAACAACGAATTGAGATACAAGGTGGTAATAATTTGTGAACCTCGCCTAGATTACTAGGTCACTAGTATTCTAGCCGGTCCCAAGCCCGGATAAAGAGGGAGGGTTGGGGCGTGGTGCTAGCAACGCCACCCCCAAAACTTAACCAAATTGCTACTAAAACTTCAACGCACAAATATATTAAAAATTCTAAAATTACAAATAGTGACCTTATTTTTCGCTGGAATCGGGGAAGTGAAATGACCCAGGCTGGTGAAAGCCTTCGGGAAGCCAGTCAGCTGATGTGCCTCCTCTCAATGAAAGCAAAAATAAGGATGGGGACGTGGAGTGTTCGTACAATGTACGAAACTGGAAATGCTGCCCAGGTAGCCGCAGAAATGAGAAGATATGGAACAGAAGTGTTGGAAATCTGCGAGAGCAGATGGAACGGATGTGGAAGGTGCCAACTATCAGCTGGAGAGACAATAATCTACTCCGGTCACCCAGAGGACGATCACGAGCACACCGAGGGAGTAGCCATCATGATGTCACCAACAGCAGCCAAAGCTCTCATGCAGTGGGAAACAATCTCCTCCAGGATAATGACAGCCAGGTTCAACTCAAAAGGAAAAAAGGTTACAATCATTCAGTGCTACGCGCCTACAAACGCCTCAGAACATGAGAAGAAGGAGGATTTCTACAGTCAATTACAAACAGTAATGGACAACGTCCCAAAGAGCGATATCAAAATCCTGATGGGCGACATGAATGCGAAACTGGGAGGAGACAATGCAGGAAGAGAACTCACCATGGGTCGTGAGGCCCTCGATGAAATGAACGAAAATGGCGAACTCTTCTCAGACTTCTGCGCCTTCAATGATTTGGTGATTGGTGGCAGTGTGTTCAAACACAGGGATATACACAAGGCAACATGGATTTCACCAGATGGACACACCAAAAACCAGATAGACTTCATTTCAATCTCAAGGAAGTGGAGACGGAGCCTACTGGACACAAGATCGAGGAGAGGAACAGATGTGGGTTCAGACCACTATCTAGTACAAGGGACATTCAAGGTGAAGCTGAAAGCCTCGAGGATACCTGGGGATAGGCCACAATGCAAGTTCAACACGGAAAAACTGAAAGACACAACCACAAAGGACACTTTCACTGCAACTGTCAGAGCAAAGCAGGAAACACTACGTGGCACCACTGAGGAATCATCCGTGGAAGACCATTGGAACTCTCTGAAGGTAATTTTCAACGAAACGTGTGGAACGGTTTTAGGAAGAAAGAAGAAACAAGACAAGGAATGGCTCTCAACGGACACTTGGAAACTAATAGAGGAGAGGAGAAAAGTGAAAGAGAAAATGATTCAATGCAAAGATGGACAAGAGAAAGAGACGCTGAACTCAACTTACACAGCACTGGACAAAGAAGTGAAGAAGAGTGCCAGGAAGGACAAAAGACAATTCTTCGACAACCTGGCTACTGAAGCTGAGGAGGCAGCAGGCAAAAGGGACCTGAGGACACTATACCAAATAACCAAGTCTCTATCCGGGAAGAGATCAATGCAAGCGAAACCTATAAAAGAAAGCCAAGGGAACCCAATTACCAAAGAAGAAAGACAGATTAAACAACAGGCGGACCACTTCAAAGAACTCTTGAATCGACCACCACCTACAACCCGTCCAGTAATACCAACAACAGCACGTACACAACTGCAAGTTGACACCAATCCTCCAACGAAAACTGAAGTCTTGAATGCAGTCAAGCTTCTGAAAGCTGGAAGAGCAGCTGGGCCAGATGGGATACCCTCTGAAGCACTGAAAGCGGACCCAGAAACGACGGCAGATATGCTGACTCCATTATTGCAAAAGATCTGGAAAGAGGGAAAGGTGCCTACTGACTGGAGGAAAGGTTACCTAGTGAAACTACCAAAGAAGGGCGACCTGGGACTCTGCAAGAACTGGCGAGGAATCATGCTCCTGTCGACGCCAAGTAAAATCCTGAGTCGCATCATCCTAGAGAGAATCAAGGACACGCTGGATACAGAATTCCGACCAGAACAAGCTGGATTCAGGAAAGGCAAATCATGTTCTGACCAAATTGCAACTCTACGCATTATCATCGAACAAAGCATGGAATGGCAATCAAACCTCTACCTCAACTTCATAGACTTTGACAAGGCCTTCGACAGCGTTGACCGAGAAGTAATTTGGAAACTACTCAAGTACTACGGCGTACCGCAAATATTCACCAACCTTATTCAACAGCTGTACGACAACGGCACATGTCAAGTGATCCACAACGGAAAACTCAGCGAGGCGTTTGGAGTAAAGACAGGAGTCATTCAAGGGTGCTTATTATCACCAATGATATTCCTAATTGTGGT